GCTGCCGAAAAAGAAGAGAAATCTACCAGGAACTCCAGGTAAATAAATTAAAGTCAGAGAACTCAAAAAAAAATAAATAAATAAATAAAAGAAAAGAAAAGAAAAGATGAAATAGATAGTCATCTCAGTAAAGAGTGATGAATAAGAAATTTCAATTTATGTCATATTTAGTTTGTGTTCTTTTGTAGATAGAAAAATTAATTTCACCTGTAGAATATCATATCATATCAAGTTTTAATTACAAGATATAATGATGAAGTAGAGTATTATTAATTTTAGAAAAATAAGTGAAGTAGCACTCTCTTTTATTAAAGAGGCATAATGGAGCAAACTGTACCTAATGATTCATGTGTTTTGTCTGTATATATATTTAAATTTTCTATTGTAGTAAGAGAAGTTAGTCACCTATATATAATATATTTGGATATCATGAATGTCATATATCTAATTTATCATCGACTTTTTAATGAAACAAAATGGAAAACTAAGCCAAAATTAAACTAAGCACATATCGCCAACACAAATACTTTACTGAAAAAAACAATAGTTTATAATAATAATATTATTAATATTAATAAATATATTCTTCTATTGTAGTTAGAGGGTTAATTAACTCACCTCTCCTGTATTTTAGTGAAAATTTCACATATCTTTAAATAGAACGAAAAACTTCAAAATTATACAGTCATCTTGTTTCTCACACGCATACATGAGACACGTGACATTGGAGAAACAGAAACATGTATTGTGTTTGTGCAGTACATTACTCACTTCAAAGAATTCAAGTATCCACAGATTCAAATAAAAAAAAAAAAAACTAAGCATGTACAGCCACTCTGCTTAATTTATTAAATTACAAGAGTATATTATGCGATTTATTTCCAATGATAACTATGTATAAATAACCTTTGTGCTCAACTTATGTAAAAAGAGAATGGAAATTTTCCAGCAAGATATAATCAGATGTATAGCTTCATTAAAGAACAAAAAAAAAAAAACAAAAATAAATCAAAATGTCAGTATATGTATGTGTACGGCCGCAGATCAGACGCAGAAGTATCGCACTCTCACCGCACAGCCTGATGGCGACCAACCGATTCATCTGCGAAGTCTGCAACAAGGGGCTTCCAAGCGCGACCAAAACCTGCAGCTCCACCGGCGCCCACAACCTCCCGTGGAAGCTCCCCAGCGGGCCCTGGTAAGGAGGCGCGTGCGGCGGGTGTTCGTGTGCCTGGAGCCCACGTGCGTGCACCACGACCCGGCACGCGCGCTCGGGGACTTGACGGGGATCAAAAAAGCATTTCAGCAGGAAGCACGGGAGAGAGATGGAAGTGGCGAGCGTGGCGGGAAGAAGTACGCGGTGAGGTCGGACTGGAAGGCGCACGGGAAGACTTGTGGGATGCGGGAGTACAAGTGCGATTGCGGGGTTGTCTTCTCGAGGTAGGTTAATTTGTTTATCACTTTTAAATCTTTTTTTTTTCTTTTTTTTATGGGGGTTAAATCTCACGAAGCTACAAATGATCAGTTTGGGAATTATCATAAATTTTTTTTTTGGAAAATGTAATGAAATCTCGAGAGTACTACAAAGTGTCATGAACTAATGGAAATATATTGTTGGAAAAATATTGTTTACGTCTAGATGACTAAAAAGGTCTAAAATATACCTTTTATAGTACTGGTGCTATTTGAGCAAATATTAAAAAGTTCTAATTATAAATCAATAAAAATTAATTTTGCTTAACGGGTGAACATGTATCGTGCTACTCGAACAAATGTTTTAGCTTTGGGCGCAAAAAACCTTTTAACCTTGCGTATTTTTTTTAAATAATTACATTTTAAATCTTGAATATCACTTTAGTACTTGGCAAAGTTTTGTAATTTAAAACTCTTGTAGTGTTAACTCAAAGAAAAAAAAATTAGGATTAAGTATCATGCATTCAAATTCAAGAGGAATTATGATATATTCTAAATCTAACAATGCCCGTACCCTCGTGCATGCATTGGACTCAAAGAAAAAAAAAATTAAATAATGGTCCCTCTATAACTTTTTTGCTGAGCTTGCTCGCACCCTATTTTTATGTCAAATTGAATACAGGAAGGATAGCTTTCGACCCACCGAGCATTCTGCGACGCACTCACCCAAGAGACACCGCCAGCCTCTCCACCCTCATCTCCACCTCCTCCCGCCGACAACCAACAAAAACAACCACAACGACAACCTCCCATCTCTTCCCTTCCTCCACCCCACCATTTCTCCACCACCGACATCGGCCTCATCCCCCAACAAACCCCTCATTTCCCCTCTCCTCAATATCACCCCCCGCGCCGCCGCCCCACTGAAGACCCCACCAACGTTCATGACCACGAATGACAACGGCATCTGCGCACTTTGTCGGCCACGGCGTTGCTCCAGAAAGCGGCACAGATGGGCGCAGCGGCGGCAGCAGCCCATCGTCGTCTTTGCTTCGGGAGGGCTGATGACGCGGCTTCCGAAGGGAAAGAAGGAGGTCGAGGTTTTTGGGAGCGGGAGTGGCAATGGCGCCACCAGAGACTTCTTGGGCTTGGGAGGAGATGGATCCGTGCAGCGTTTTCGTAACGAGATGGTGGCTAAGTTTGGATATCTGGATTCGGCCGGGTTGGATTTTGTATGATATGTTCGTCTCTGTGATAACGTCTGTTTTGTTTTGATGATGATAGCTCTATGTTGGTAATGACCATGAAATGCGATGTTTATTTCATTGACAAAAAAAAAAAAAAATTGAAATGCGATCTTTTCGTAAAATGTTATTTACTCATTTATTTTTCTTTCGGGAAGTATAAAAAAAAAAAAATTAAAGACGTACTTGCCCACTATTATACGCATACTCTCCGCAATACGGTTCGTTGTGATGATTGTAGTCAGGACATTGACAATTTCATTAATTTTAGGGGCATCCTAAGAACTAAAATAAATATAAGTAATCTAGTGATATTCTTTGACACTACTTTCGCTTCATGGCAATGTATTGTGCGGTGGCATCAGTGTGGACTTTGTTTCATTTTTTCATTATTGGGGGAGGTTTTTCGTAAAGCAGCCGCAGAGCTTTTTGGGCTGGGCCAAATCATTCGGCCGGGTCTGGTAATTACACGTGGCACATGTCAATTGGTTCACTTTACGTGTAATGCTCGAAGAGACCTAATTTCTGGACTGTGAGCCATGCTACTCCTTTGTGACACTGTACATCGAAAGCTTCCCACCCGGCGATCCAATGAGATTAATCCACGTCACACCAATATTCAAGATTGACGTGTAGTGGGCCCACCAATTTTTTTTAGATTTATTATTACCCCGATTCAGAAAATCCTGTAAAAAAAATAAATAAATAAATAACAAAAACAAGCAGAAAAAAAGATCTCGATTAATTGGGTTCCACAGTGGAGAATTTTGAAGGAAGAAGACGATGGTGATGCTTTTGGGTTCAACTCGGGTCTTCTTGCTGCCTCTCTTTCTCTTCGTTCCCTCTCTCTTTGGCGCGCAGGGTTAGGCTCTTGATCCGATTAGGGTTTTATAAATGAAGTTTAGATCTTTGGATTGGTATTCTGTTGTATTGTTCAGTTGGCTAACTTTTAGAAATATTTGATTCGTTATTTGTCGCATTGAAAGCTGCATTGTTCCTCAAAACGTGAAATTTTGTTTTTTGAAGTGCTGTAGGCATGAGGTAAGAATTTGATTTCTATTAAATTAGTCATATATCGTTATTTCTAGACCTTAGTTCATCGGAAAGTTGTTACTTGATTGTAATTGGTAATAAAACAATCAGTTTTGTACTAGACCCTAAGTCATTGGACACTTTTTTTCGTAGTATCTTGTTAGAAATTGGGTTGGTTCTTCTTCGCTCACCCAAGAAACATCATCCAAATTAGAGGCAGGTGGCTCATTTATTTTGATATACTTTATGTATGCAAACCACTTTAATGACTAATGATGGTAAATTGATACCAATATGAAAATCGAGCCTCATCAATTATACAGAAAAAATATTGAATATCTGGTGTTATTATATAACATCTCTGATTCACCGAGCATTACATTATTGTATTTTTCCCCCTTTCGAAAGTGCTATTCTACGTAAACATTTGGGAAATTATACCTTTAAGTTGCAAGATTTTCCGCACTTTCCCCATTTAATATTTGATCAATGTTACAACCATATGGAATCTCCATTTTGTTTTGCATAGAAACATAACGGATGCAGTGTTTTGTTCTTTCTATCTTGTAAGTAATATGAGTTTATAATCCAGATAGTCAGGCTGGAGATGCCGCTACATTGTTGAAAAGAGCCACTGAAACGATAAAAGCAAGGCAATATGATGCAGCACTTGAACTTCTGAACTCTGCTATTGAGGCAAATGCAGGTCTTTCAGAAGCCTATAAGCAGCGAGCATCTGTTCTCCGGCAGCTTTGCAGGTCTTTCTCCATGAATTTACTTTTTACGTGTCAATCGTTTTTGTTTTAGTAGCATAATATGACAGTTTTACACGGATTGAAAAGACAAAAAATGGCAAAAAATCCTCATTTTCTAATTTTCTGCACGTGACTTTGTTGTGACTGTTATGCCTTGTTTCACTGTGTTAGACACTGCTATATAATAATCTTGATGTTATAGGGAATTGTATAACAGAGCGTAATCTATACTTCTCAGACCTCCAATATCTACTGCTATATAAAAGGATTATGCTAGTTTACTAGAATCTTAAAATCATACTTATAAACCAATGATTTAAGAATGTTCACTTTTCCTTCTTGGTTTCTCATAATTTTAGATTTTACGGATTTATCCATATGGACTAAAAGAGCGAATCCACTATCACTTAATTGATTAATTAGCGTGGCATGGCCACTGTTTTCTGATGATTTTTTTTTTGATTGGATATATGTACATCACGATATGGATTTAAGTTAAATTTGTCATCTGATTCAAACACTATATGAACTCAGAATTTTTTTTGTTGATGTAGATATGAGGAGTCTGAGGAAAACTACAACAAGTTTCTCGAGCAAAAACCTGGTACTACTTCTGTGGAGAAGGAGCTTTCCCAGTTGATACAGGCAAAAAATGCATTGGACTCAGCATATAATCTTTATGATTCTGGTGATTTCTCCAAAGCTTTGGATTACATTACCAAAGTTGTCCTGGTTTTTTCTCCTAGTTGCTTTAAGGTATTTGTAGCTAAGGATTTATTTTTGTGCTTGTCAGATTATAGATGTATTTTGATGTAAGCCTTATACCAGTTAAGTTTTCTCTCTACAGGCAAAACTACTTAAAGTGAAATTGTTACTGGCACTGAAGGACTTCTCAGGCGCTATTTCCGAAACTGGGTACATTCTTAAAGAAGACGAGAGCAACTTGGAAGCATTACTTTTGCGAGGTCGTGCCTATTATTATCTCTCCGATCATGATGTTGCTTCAAGGTTAGTTTTAGAGTCTTTCTGTTTTCGTGTGCATATAGTGAGAGGGGAGGGAGGTTGCTAGAATTCCTCACATGAATTGCATGATTTGCTCTTTATTGAGAGGCACATTGTACTGATTAGTTTATATGCATTACTGTGTTTAGTTTGTTTAATGCATATTTAATTCAGGCACTTTCAGAAAGGATTACGCCTAGACCCAGAACATAGTGAACTGAAGAAAGCTTATTTTGGGTTAAAAAGCCTTTTAAAGAAGACCAAAAGTGTAAGATTTATTTGGGATTCCTTATGTAACTCAAAAGGTTGCTTCAGATTTTTTTCCACTTGGAGGGAAATTCAGTGATTAATTGCTAGTAAACATGGTTACAGGCAGAAGATAATGCTGCAAAGGGTAAACTACGTGTTGCTGTAGAGGACTTTAAGGCAGCCCTCGCCTTGGACCCCAGTCATAGTGCACATAATGTTCATCTTCATCTTGGTTTATGTAAAGTCTTGGTGAAGCTTGGCAGAGGAAAGGATGCTGTCAAAAGCTGCACAGAAGCACTGGACATTGATGGGGAGCTTGATGAGGCCTTGGTTCAGGTTTTTAATCCTCCTGTTTGAACCTTAATTCATAGATCATATGCGCAGTATAATATTTGTACTTCTGTATTATCATTCTTTAAGTAGATTATATAAAACTTTGTAGTAGGATGCCTAGATGGTCACACTGGTCCTTCAGATGGGTTAGTAACATTAATTATATATTACTATAACCTTTGCCAAGATGAAATGATGGCTATAATATGACTTTGTACTGCTTCACAGATTAGCCCAACCCCACCGACCAAATGGGACTATCTGGCATTTTTGCCTTATGCCAAAATTGTGGCTATCCTTATGAATTGTTGACCCTTCAAAGTTGTGTTCTTCGGAGATAATTTCATGTTGTGTTAGAAAGTTAAGGTTGTTGATGAATGATTTCGTTTTTGTTCAAATCATTTTGTTAAACATCATTCTAGGAGTTGCTTATGGAATTCTTTTTGCTTTTTCCAATGATTTTACGTAGTTCCTTTCATTTCTCATATCATTCTCCTTAAAGGACAGCCCTGGACATCTACCCTGTGTTATCTTTTTCTAAGGGAACTAGATAATACAAATTTGATGAAAATTCTTAATATAGCAGATATCTTAATGACTTGGAAGCCTAAACATCGATAACCCCTTTACTCCTTTAGAACTGGTCAATATTTTTCTGATGCAACGAGTCTTTCTTTTTGCCTTAATGCCTTCATGTTATATTCATGTCTCCCTTTTTTTTTTTGAACTTTGGACAAATCTTTCCCCATGTCTTGCTATTTCTGTATCAAATGAAAATTTTGCAGTTACTGTTGCATAAATTTATTTACACACTACTGAGTGACTTATAGTATTCATAGCCAAGTAGTAGACAATGCGCGCGCGCGCATACACACACACACGTGGTGCAGCTGTAGATTTCTTAGGGCTTAGCTGTTGCTGAAGGACATAGGGTTCAGATTTTACTTTGCCATTCCTTATGTTCTACCTTTGTCATGACTATCATTAGAATGTTAATCTGGTGTTTAAGTTCTGACTGGATGTTGCTCTCTCTACAGCAAGGAGAGGCAAAGCTCCTAACAGAAGACTGGGAAGGAGCTGTTGAGGATCTGAAAGCAGCCGCTCAGAAATCTCCTCAGGTTTGATGTGTCATTAATTTGTGCACGGATAGTTTGCAAGTTATGGTTAAATGAAATTTAACAATCTCTGATTTTGTCAAAAGATAATTCCAGTAATTACAAATCTATGGTTGTAATTAAGTTTAACTACAGGATATGAATATCCGAGAAGCACTAATGAGGGCGGAAAAAGCATTGAAGATGAGCAAAAGGAAGGACTGGTACAAGATCTTAGGGGTTTCAAAAACTGCATCAATTGCGGAAATAAAACGTGCTTACAAGAAGCTTGCTTTACAGTGGCACCCCGATAAGAATGTTGACAAAAGAGAAGAAGCAGAGGCCATGTTTCGAGAAATAGCTGCTGCGTATGAGGTACATCAAAGAGCGTTATATTAATTTTTTTCCTCTTCAACGTGTTAGCTTTTCTCTTTTTCTAAATTCATTCATAGTGTTTTCATGGGCATTCTTTTATCTCACTATCTTCCCTCAATATAAAAATTATGCTTTTGCAATGACTTGCGTTCTCTTAACTCCAGTAACATGTATTCTTTACTGTACCATTTCACCACTCTTTGGTAATCTGATTGTGACCCTTAAAGAAATCACCTGATTGTTTGTCAGATTTTGTTTGATGACAACTTCTTAAAACTTGTTCTGGCAAACTATCAGTCAAAGTGCTAATTGTAGCTTAAAAAATGTAGAAGGAAAAAGTGCTAGCATGTGTACCTTGTAATAACATCCTCATGTAATTTTGAATTAGGTGATGCACTCTCTCCCCCTAGCTTTATCGTAATGGTATATAATGAGGATGATTTTTTTTCTTCCAACTTCTTCATTTGCTGCCGTATATAGAACTTGAAGCCCCTTAGTTTCATGAATGAATTTTTTTTCTTCCAACTTCTTCATTTGCTGCCGTATATAGAACTTGAAGCCCCTTAGTTTCATGAATGATAGACAACAACAAGTACTTACAACTACGCTGCCGTATATAGAACTTGAAGCCCCTTAGTTTCATGAATGATAGACAACAACAAGTACTTACAACTACAATAAAGCCTTTATACCAAAATTTTATGGTAGGCTACATGAATCTTGTTCTTTCATTCAGTTCTATTTTTGGTCATATGCTCGGTTAAATTGCGGTTCAACTATTATCATATTCTTCTTAATTGTTTCCTACCAAGTTTTTCAGTTCTACTTCTATATCTATTTGCTCCATTAATTATAATATTATCATTTTTCCTAGCCGGTGCACTAAGAACCTCCATGCGAAACCATCTCAACCCATTTTCTTTGATTTTATCCTTGATGAGTGTAATATTTTATGGATGCACTCATTTCTTATCTTATCTTTTAGTGTACACCCACAAGACCTACCATAATATTCTCATTTCGGCTACAATCATTTTCTTCACATGTTTTTCAATTATGCGACATTCTGATCCATAAAGCTTCATGCACTACAGAACTTTTTCCCCCCACCAAGTACTTTCAATCTGTTATACTTAATTTCCGCGATCTTGCCTATGAAAGGTACTTGGCGATGATGACAAACGTGTGAGATACGACAGAGGCGAGGATCTTGATGAGATGGGTATGGGTGGAGGAGGGGGTGGCAGCGGTTTTAACCCTTTTGGCGGTGGTTTTGGGGGTGGATTTGGTGGTGGAGGTCAGCAATATACTTTTCACTTTGAAGGTGGATTTCCTGGTGGTGGATTTCCTGGTGGTGGTGGAGGCTTTGAGTTCAATTTTTGATCACAGCCTCCTGTAAATTTATTCTTTTCAAGGTTGCACGCTCAACTAACAGAGGAAGCTAGAAATCGAGCAGTTCAAGGACCTCGAGGGTAAACTCAAACAGTTCAGCCATTTGAAGAAGCCCTCAATTTGCGGGGTGATTTTTTACCCTTTAAGTTATACTCATGGCTGATTTTCCCCCGTACATTGTATTTCTCCGGGGAGGGAAAAAGCCTACTTTGTTATTTCGAAGAGTTTCAGAAAAGCGAGATGACATGTAATTTTGGCAACATTTGTCCATGAATACAAAGTTTTACATAACTTCAGAACATAAAGTTAAAGTGCTCTGTAACAAAGGGGGTTATCCAGGGATTTTATTGAAATTTGAGTTCTGATTTTAGCCGTGCCTTTTCTTCCTTGCTTGTTAGCAATTGAATGATGTCAGGAATGGCTAATGTTTTACCTTATTTAATATACTCTTCATCCATTGCTTGAATTGGGATCTTCTCAGAGAAGCCGTGGCTAAAATTTGAATGATAACCTTTTTCTTTTCCATTATCCAGCAAGATTCAGCTATCACAGTGAAATGCTATCATGTATCTGCATGAGAAAGAAAAGGATGTCGGCTAATAATTTTGTGTTAGGAGATATTTCATATTCATGTCTCCTTAAATAATATTGCCTCAAAGGAGGTGCACATTTGATCACAGATAGAAATAGTTTATCTGAGCAATTGGTCCTAGTTGCCAAAACAAGGAGCCAGTATTACTATTATTATTATTTATCTAAGACTGTGGGAGTCATATTGGAGCGTTCCAACCATCCGGATCACCCACGGTGGGCAAGTGATAGCATGCTTTGTTCACTTAAACTTATGCCTCTGCATAATTAGGCCTAATGATTATGCTCTATAATTTGTTGTTGTGATGTATTTCGAGTGACTTGGTAGCATCACTGAAGTCTGAAGTTTGCTCTTGACAGGTATATGCATCCCTTTCTGACAGCGAAAGGCTGGTAGCCTTCTCTTTTCAGAAAGATCATTTATGCCATTTTATATGACAAAGTATGCATAGTGATTTATTAAACTTGAGTTAATCAAAGCCAGGGGTTCCCCTGCCATTTTGGTGAAAGTGAAACTACAAACCGCTAGTTTATTTCTCTTTCTTATATAACTTTTGGCTCTATTTTGTTCTTTCAAGTCTCTATTTTTCTCTTGTTTGCTTACTATTTATTCATAACAAAGTTTTGTATATTATACTTTCTTTCTACCTTTGCTATAACCCAGTCCCTTGCTGCATTCGTAAGCAAGATGCATCATTTTTGGCCCACAACAGCTGTAACATGAAAACCATCAAAATTAGAATGACAACAACAAGTACCAGAAACAGAAGTGAGGAGATTTATACATGAAAAGAGATCACAAACAATAATTGAAATAGAGTAGAAGAGAAGCATTCCATCCATAATTATGTCACGCCAAAAAAAACAGCCCTCAATCCCTCGCCATCGTTGCACTGACATCTATCTCATACCTCACTCCTTTATTTATTTATTTTGTTTGTTGTTCTTTTTTTTTAGAGAAAACATCCTATAGTAGAATGTGCATACAGGGGAGAATGATATGGTAACCGCTGGCAACACCACCGTATTGACAAAATAAAGAACGGAAATAGTGAGAACAACAATTTAAATATGTTAATTTAATGAGGTACAAGAATTAATATGGTTACCTATGTTCTTGAAGTACAATTTAAGGTCATGATTCTACTAGAATAAACATTATTGCCTATATCTTCACAGTGGGCTTGCAATTCTGCAACCCTTCAATTTAATTTTAATAAAATCACCACCAATACTATCAGGTAACCAATTATACTATATGGATACTACAAGTCCACTGTGAGCGTGTTTGGCAGCTGGTCAAAGTGATACATAAGACGCTGAGACATATTTGACAAACAACTTATTTTGACTTGTAGCTTTAAAAAAAAATCTGAGGGTAACCTAACTTATTTTCTACTGGCTTATAGACCACATCCGAGTAAAATGCCATTCTATCATAAGACCCTGATTTGCTAAACGCTCATAAGACCCTAATTTGCTAAACGCTCTACAAGTTATTTATATATTATAAACTAAGTAGATTATAATCCAAAGCCCCCAAATGTGCTATGTATCTTCATCGGACACAAACTTAAAAATTCATGGTGGGCGCTTGCCCACACCCTCTACTATTTTCCGTTTGAGGACCTACCAAGGGAATTCTCTTTTCTACCACTTTTGCAAGCTTACTACGCAACGTAGCTGCTGCATCTCATCAATGCAGCTGCTGAGTACCACTCCAATCAACCACCAAATCAAAACAAGAACTATATAAACAAGGGGACATCAACACCAAAACCAATCAAGTTAACAAACCAAAAAATCAAAATGACCATGAGAAGCCTCTCAATCTTCTTCTTCCTCCTCTTCACCCTCTCGACCAAAACCAAAGCCCAGCCCGCCGCAGCCCCGGCTCCTCCAGGCCCAACAAACATAACGGCCATCCTCGAAAAAGCCGGCCAGTTCACCACCCTCATCCGCCTCCTGAAAACAACCCAAATCGCCGATCAAATCAACAACCAACTCAACAACTCAAAATCCGGCCTCACTCTCTTCGCGCCGACCGACAACGCGTTCTCCAGTCTACCCGCCGGCACTCTGAACTCCCTCACCGACCAGCAAAAGGTCTCTCTGATCCAATTCCACATCCTCCCGAACGCGGAGTCCATGTCTCAGTTCCAGACGGCTAGTAATCCTCTGAGAACTCAAGCGGGAGATTCGAACTTTCCGTTGAACGTGACGACGTCAGGGAACAGCGTGAACGTGTCGACGGGGATCGTGAATACGACGGTGTCGAACGCGCTGTATTCGGACGGTCAGCTTTACGTGTACACTGTTGACAAGGTTTTGTTGCCGCTGGGATTTTCAGGCCGTCAGTGCGACCGGCGGCCGGCGCCGGAGCGGCGAAGGGTAGGAAGAAGAAGGCGTCGCGGCTGTGGCTGATGGCCGGCGGGGGCTAAGGATACCGATGCTTCGCCGGCGCGGCGGTTAACGGAGGGAATTGGAGGAGGATTGTTTTGGTCGCAGGTTTGAGTTTGGCCTGGTTGAACTTCTGACAGTACTGTAGTTGTTAGTATTTCATAAATCATTTTGAGAGGGAACTGGGATTTGAGTGAAGGATTGTGATTCTATTTTCCTTTTTCTTTTTTATTTGAGATGTACTTTATCTGTGATTGATGCATTTGAGATTTTGAATTGTTGCTTGATTCTTATGTATTCTCCTAATAAATAAATAGGAGAGGGTCCTAGATTACCTACGGTTTATTTGAGACTGTATAATCTGACGTGCCATGAGATTGCAACAAAATTGTTACCAGTTTATATCAGCCCATTATTGAACCATGCAGCAACAGCAAAATCAAGTAATTGAGCTATATGTTTTTTTCCTAAAAAAAACATCTACTTCATGCACAGTCCAACCATAGTCCCATACACGTGTATCTCCAGCTTTAATTAATTGCTCTATGCATAGTAGAGAACATATTCATATCCTCTCCATTATTAGGTCCCGTTTGGCAAAGAGATAAGAAAGAGGGATTAAAGAGAATGATTAACATAGTTAGCACATTCGATAATTTGAAGGACTAAATTATTAACGCGTTATATGAGTTTTAGTTTAGCTCTTGTGATCATTTTTAGTGTTTGTGAATAACAATGATTTTGACTATTTTCTTTATAATTAGGAGAGTTAATTCTTAATCTTTCTAAACAGAAGTATTAGTAAATCCCTTATTTTGAGGGGTTAACTCATTTTAATCCATCTAGAGGGGTTAGCTTCACTTTTCTGCATTTTTTATGTTCTACAATTTATGGAGGGTTAACTCACTTTGATATTTGTATAAATTTTTTATGTTTGGCGGGTTAAGAAATTAAGTCTCCTTAACCCATTACTTAGCCCTTTGCCAAACGGTGTTGGGACAAACCCGGGGCCCAATAGAGCAGGGTCGCAGCAATAGTAGAGCAAAAGTAGAGATAAAATGTTGGACACACAGATTTATGTGGTTCGACACTTGATTGCCTACGTCCACGGGCAAGGATAGAAGAATTCACTATGAGGAGAAAACTCTGGAGTTACAATCTCTCTTTCTAAGGAGATACTCTCTCTATTTTTTCTCTCACACACTTCTATATAAGAAGAAGTTTCTGGGATGAGTTTTTTCTTAAGGATTTGGAGCCTATTTATAGGATTTGGAAAAACACTATGCACAATAAAATATTAATATTTTACTGTAGCAGTAGGCTCCACCATTTTGTTTTCTTTTTCAATTGTCAAAAGGTGGGTGCTCTTGTCAAAAATGTGAGGCTGCTTTCGGTGATGGTAGACGCCTGACAATCTCCCATTTGAAGATTTGATTGAGCATTAATCATATCTTCACATCATTCTTTCTATCTTGCCATCTTCATGTTGCTTACGTCTCCGTCAGGCCACACGAGGATCGACACCAAATAAATTTGTCGGTTTGAACTGCTTTTGTTAAAAAATCAGCTAGGTTGTCTTTGGTGTGATGTGGTGGATTTGCTATTATCACGATCACCTGCATAATCAGAATCAACATATCCACTGACAATAAAATCAGATCCCCCATAACATAATGCAACATTTGAGGTTCCTTGAATGTATCTTAGAACCCTCTTTACAGCATTCCAATGCTCTTTACCAGGATTCGCCATGTATCGACTAACCACTCCCACTGCTTGTGCAATGTCTGGTCTTGTACAAATCATCGCGAACATTAAGCTTCCCACTGCTGATGCATACTGCTGATGCATACGGTACTCGAGACATCTCCATCCTCTCTTCTTCACTGCTAGGACTCATACTGGAGGATAACTTGAAATTAACAGGAAGTGGGGTAGAAATTGACTTACAATCTTGCATGTTAAAGCGTCGCAAGATTTTCTTCAAATAGTTCTTCTGAGAAAGCCAAATCTTCCTATTAATTCTGTCTCAGTAAATTTACATCCCTAGAATCTTGTTTGCAGATCCTAAATCCTTTATTTCAAATTCCCTAGCCAACTGAGCCTTTAATTCTTTGATACGATCTTTGTTGGGGCCTGCAACCAACATGTCGTTAACATACAACAATAAGATAACAAAGTTATTTTCACCAAACCTCTTGAAATATGCACAAGGGTCTGAATTAAGTCTGTTGTATCCAAGGCTCATGATGAATGAATCAAATCTCTTGTACCAACACCTCGGCGCCTGCTTTAGACCGTACAGAGATTTGTTCAATCTGCAAACCAAGTTCTCTTTTCCTTTTTCTTCAAAACCTTCTGGTTGGAGCATGTAAATTTCTTCTTCAAGATCTCCATGAAGAAATGCTGTTTTCACATCTAGCTGCTCTAGATGTAAGTCAAATATAGTGCTCATAGCCAGGACTATTCGGACTGTTGTTAGTCGAACTACAGGAGAAAATATTTAATTAAAATCAATACCTTCTTTCTGAGCATATCCTTTTACCACCAATCTAGCACGATATCGCTCCACCTGATCATCGCCGTTTCGCTTGATCTTGTAGACCCATTTGTTTCCAATGGTCTTTCTTCCTTGTGACAGTGACACAAGTTCCCAAGTCTTGTTCTTATGAAGAGGTTTAATTTCTTCCTGCATTGCTGCCATCCACAAAGATGCATCTGTGCCATTTATAGCTTCATGAAAAGTTGATGGCTCCTCATCTTCTGTTAGAAGACAGTATGCAACATTACTCTCCGTAATATACTCCGAGTGCCAAATCGGTGGTCTTCTCTCACGAGTTGACCTTCGAACTTCTGGAGCCTCGGACTCGACCGGTTCTTGTACATCATGCTCCGGTGTGTTAGGTCTCATGTTATGAGCCTACATCTTCTAATCTTATTTTGATGATTACAAACAATTCCTAATATTATTTGTCTAGTGTTTATATTTCTTATTAGGTATTGTAGACAAACAACGTTGTTGGAGGTTGGATGGATTGAGCCTACACGATCATATCAAAAGGAGGTTGGCGGAATTGTGGAGTGAAGCATCGTACAATTCAAGTTCAAGATCCAAGTTCAAGCTTCATCCGCAAGTGTACCAAGTCAAGCTTAATTGAAGATCAAGATTTCTTGGTAATGTAGTTTTAGATTTTATATTATGTGTGTTATATACTCTAAGCTCATATCTATACACACACACACATTTATTGTTTCTTCGTATATATATATAGTTATATATATATATAGATATATATATATATATATAATATATTATATATATATAATATAAATATTATATATATAATATATATATATATATATATATATATATATATATATATAAGTTTGGTTTCTATGCATATATATAGTTATTATATACATACATAGTTTTTGAGTTTTCATGTTTATAATATGAATCACATGTTTCATATTTACAATTGTGTTTTGGTATTATTGCAATAGAATATGCAATTTTGTGAAAATATTATATTCTTAGTTTTTGGACTTAATAATAATCATATACATACATTATTAAGTCTATATAATCATTGTGCAAAGTTTCAAAACATGGTTTAGCCAAAATGTTAAAATTCACATATTTCCATTTTCGTGTATTGGACTATTTTGCAAAATGATGATTTTTCACAAATGGGAAATGCAATTTGGAAAATTCTTTTTGTAACATGTTCATTTACATGTTTATATACATTTCCCAAAATTTCATTATTTTTGGACTTCATTTGTTATTTTTAACATATTTTTCAAAGTCTCAAAAATCAACTCTAAAACTTGTTTTTCTGCTGTGTCAGTTTTCGGTCGACCACACCGGTCGACCGATCATTTGTTCTTTCGTCACCATGCAGCAGAGAGTTGGTCGGTCGACCGTCGTTCAGTCTGACTGTTATGGCTAGGTCGGTCGACCGACAGAATTTCCGGTCGACCGCCAATGTATCCGTTGGCTTCCAACGGCTATTTTTCTGAGCTGTTTGCTGGGGCTTTTTGGTCTTTTATTTTGGGAGTTTTGGCTGAGTTTTTGAGTGGGTATAAATACCCTATTGCTGCTCTCTTTCAAGTTATCTAAGAATGTTTTAAAAAAGTTTTTAAACAAGGGTTTTAAAAAGAGTTTAAGCTTGTTTAAGCTTGTTTAAGGGTTTAGTTTAAAGCAGTTTTAGTTTTCACAAGTGGTTGAGATTACCTTCTTGTTTGGGCTCATATCTCCATCTCTCCATCTTGATCTAGAGAAGTTTTTCTAAACTCAACTCTAGCTTTTATTTATAATTATTTGTTGATTATCATTTCTATTAAAGCTAGTTTTATATTGAGTTTAGTTTGATTTGATTTACTCTTTGTTTACACACACAACCATTGAGCTTATTGTATTTACATTCATAGTATAATTGGGTTGTGGGATTGTGTAACTTAGAGAGTGAGCTTATAATTCGTTCTCATTCATTGTAGAGAACAAACACTTTGTATTGAGCCTAATTGTGAGGATTCACTTGTAATACACTTGTACACCGAGAGAAGTGTGTGGTGAGAGACGGGGTCGAATCCAAGAGGAGTGGCGTCGGTTGACGTGCCTAGGGAGAGGTTGTAACCGAGCACTTGAGGAGGAGGACACGGGCTAGGACCAACACTTAGTGTGTGAGGTGTGATTGCATAGTGATTGTATTGTGAGGTGTAAACGTTGTTCGGGTGAACGTAGAAAACCCGGTTGTGATAGTGGAGATCTCCTCGAGGTGAGGAGCGGAGACGTAGGTCGTGGGGACCGAACTCCGTAATCATATTGGTTGTTTGTGATTGCATTGACGCACTTCCTTTTATGTTCATATCTTATATCGCCTTTGTATATTGCTTGTTGATTATATTGCCCACTATCTAGTTTAGATTGTTTACCCTTGAGTTTATATATCCTTGCACATACATTGCCTATATCTCTTTGTTAGGATATATCTTGTTGTTCATATTGCTTATCCTAGCTCATATACATTGTTGTATTTCATACCTGCTAGGATAACTTGTTAATATATTTTAATTGGCATATAATCGGATTAGATTAGCATAAGACCCTAATCACCCCCCTCTAGGGTCTAACACGGTGTTGCTTCAGAAGAATTCGGATTATCTTCTACCTGAACAGCTACAGTCTCTGAGTCCTTCCTCGAACTGCTTTCTTTCTCTTCACTTTGTAGTTGGTTCTCTACAAAGATAACATCTCTGCTGATGATAACCTTGCGGGCAGTGGGATCCCACAGGCGATACCCCTTTACTCCATCAGCATACCCCAAGAATATGCATTTTATGGATTTTGCATCCAGCTTTGTAATTTCTTGGGCATTGTACATTACGTACACTGGACTTCCAAATAGATGGAGGTTGGAATAATCAGCTGGCTTGTCAGTCCACATCTCCATCGGCGTCTTCAATTGTATTGCAGTTGATGGAGATCGATTTATCACATAACAGGCGGTTTTTACTGCTTCCGCCCAAAAGACTTTTTCCAGATTTGCAGTTGCCAACATAGCTCTTGTTCTTTCCAACAGAGTTCTGTTCATCCACTCCGCCACTCCATTTTGTTGAGGAGTATAAGCCGTACTGAATTGTCTTTTGATGCCTTCTTGCTTGCAGAGCTAGGAATTCACCGTCTGTGTATTCTCCTCCATTATCTGACCTCAAGCACTTGATCTTCTTCTCAGATTCAAGCTCGACCCGCGCTTTGTAGGCTTTAAAAACTAAGAACACATCTGCCTTCTTCTTGATAGGATACACCCAACATCTCCTGGAGTAATCATCAATAAAGGACACAAAGTACTTTGCTCCTCCTAAGGATGTAACTGGTGCTTGCCATACATCAGAATGAACCAGTTCCAGAATAGCCTTGCTTCTAGAACTTCAGTCGATGTTGCTTGCTTGTAACACAATGCTCGCAGAATGGAAGAGCTACCGAATTAAGTCCAGGAAGCAGTTTCTGATCGGAGAGAACCTTCAAGCCTCGTTCTGACATGTGGCCTAGCTTGCGATGCCACATCATGGTTTGTTCTTCTCCACGGCTGGTTGATGCCACACGTGAATCAACTTCCTGCAGAGTCTCTCCCTTGAGCATGTACAGATTTGCAGCTATCTTTTCTCCTTTTATCACCACAAGCGCCCCTCTAACAATCTTCATGACTCCATTTTCTATATGAGTCTTGCACCCGAGCTCATCTAATTGTCCCAAAGACAATAGATTCTTCTTCAAGCCCTTCTTGCAGCTATCTTTTCTCCTTTTATCACCACAAGCGCCCCTCTAACAATCTTCATGACTCCATTTTCTATATGAGTCTTGCACCCGAGCTCATCTAATTGTCCCAAAGACAATAGATTCTTCTTCAAGCCCTTCACATGTCGCACATCTTGAATGGTGCGTATTATACCATCAAACATTTTGATTTTGATAGTACCAATACCATAAATCTCCAAGGCATGATCATTTCCCATGAATACAGATCCTCCTGAGATATGTTCATATTTGTGAAACCAATCTCTCCGAGAGGTCATGTGCCAAGAGGCTGCTGAATCTAGAAGCCAGACATCAGCAAACTTCTTTCTGCCTTCATCAACAGTGGTTGCTCCACTGAATAGAATTTCACCATCCTCTGACGTGCTGACAACGCATCCTTGAGATGTTGATGGCTCTGAAGACTTTTTATCTCCACTCTTCTTGTTGTGCCAACACTCCGATTTGACGTGCCCTCTTTTGCCACAGTTGTAGCATTTGATATTCTTCTTACTTCGTGATTTCGATCTACCATGGGCATGACTCCCACTGGAGCCACGTTCTGTTGATCTTCCTCTCGTCACCGACAAGGCCTCCGCTTGCTGCGAACTTATCTGCCTGTCTTCCTTGTTCTTGCGTCGATTTTCTTCCTCCAGAACAGCGGCTGCAACATCGTCGAAGATTAGATTGTCCGTGAGGACGTTGTTCGTTAGGTTGATGATGAGTTGATCATACGAGTCAGGTAGACTCTGAAGTAGAAGTTCTGCACGTTCATTCGCACCAACTGTATATCCCAACGTTGTGAGTTGGGAGAACAGTGTGTTTAGGGTGTTGATGTGGTCGGTCATCGATGTAGATTCCGCCATCCTCAGAGTGTAAAGTCTCCTTTTTAAGAAGATTTTATTGTGCATGGATTCGCCTCATATAGCTTTGTTAGAGTATCCCAGATCTCCTTTGCTGTCTTCTTCTCCTCTATGCTTGACAGCACCCCGTCTGCTAATGCTAGATGGAGATTTGCAATAGCATTTTTGTCCATCTCGTTTCACTTCTTATCATCTGTGACGTCGTCCGGCCTTGCACCAATGGCCGCCAGGCAATTATCTTTTCTCAAGATAGCCTTTATCTTCAACTTCCACAGTGAGAAATTACTCCCGTCGAATTTCTCGATCTTGAACTTCGCCGCCATTGCTTCTACCACGAACATTAACTTCTTACTATTTCACGTAAATAGTACTGTATTTATGAACAGTAACCGTATCCATGAATAGTATCGTACTTATGAATAGTACCGCATTTGTGAACAGTACCGTACTCGTGAATAGTACCCGTCACCTCCAAAGGGTAAGTGATAACCTAACTTATTTTCTGATGTGGAGGATCCACCTTTGGTGGCAGCCACAGAGCATACGATAAGTAGATATATACAAGTACCCTAAGTTGGCTCTGATACCACTTGTTGGGACAAACCCGGGGCCCAATAGAGCAGGGTCGCAGCAATAGTAGAGCAAAAGTAGAGATAAAATATTGGACACACAGATTTACGTGGTTCGGCACTTGATTACCTACGTCCACGGGCAAGGATAGAAGAATTCACTATGAGGAGAAAACTCTGGAGTTACAATTTCTCTTTCTAAGGAGATACTCTCTCTATTTTTTCTCTCACACACTTCTATATAAGAAGAAATTTCTGGGATGAGTTTTTTCTTAAGGATTTGGAGCCTATTTATAGGATTTGGAAAAACACTATGCATAATAAAATATTAATATTTTACTGTAGCAGTAGGCTCCACCATTTTGTTTTCTTTTTCAATTGTCAAAAGGTGGGTGCTCTTGTCAAAAATGTGAGGCTGCTTTCGGTGATGGTAGACGCCTGACAAACGGCACCTTAAATTGTAATATAAACCTCATATTTTGAGAAAGAAATTGTAGGGTATAAACCCCTCAGTGTTTCCTCAAGAAGAAATTAACGGAACTTCCTAATAGGAAAAGATATACATACGAAAAAAAAGGAAGGCGAAAGATACAATAAGTTCTAGATTTAACATGAATCATAACCGTCTACCAAATAAAAGAAAGTTATAATAAATGTTGGACTCCCCACAGAATTTGACAGTGGAGAGATCCAAATCCAAAGGAAGACATGTACATTTGCTTCAGTACAATTTATACACACACCAATTTATTATTCAATCAGAAAACACAACATAAACAAAGTCATCTCATTGCAAAAGCTCCTTACAATCCGCAGGCTGCAAAGCGCTGATCCTAACATCGTACTTTTTGTATTTATCACCTGCACCCTCGTAGTAAGCCGCACCAATAAAATTGCCACACTTTTTGCAAGCAAGTTTTGTTCGGCGCCCAAAAATGTTCATACAACCTATCTCTTCGAATTCAGAGAACCTGCTCTCGTCTACTTCGACGAAGGAGACGACCCCTTTCCTGATCACCTTCCCGTACTTCGAGTAGTCGATGTTCTTCGTGTTGCGGTTCGAGGAGTGAAGGTTGAGCTCATAGCCACAAGAACCACACCTGCGCATATTACAAGAGAAACATGTTAGGTAATGAAATTCTCAGTTCAAGTACATCTATTGCCTAGTGGATGATTGTGATTTGCTTTGACTGAAAGTTTTCAAACAGAGCAGAATTAAAAGATATGTGATACTACTATCAGGAGCAGAGCTGTAGTATTCAGTCATGCAACGGAACAATATTTGAATAACAGAATGAATCATCTAATGTTATTAAAGAGCTAGCATAACTATAAACTTCCACTAAAAAAGATAAATTAAGCACCAGAACACAAGTAAGCTAGAGAAATTTAAATTTGAAAAGTAATCAATATTTTCTAGTGTAGGCGTCTAAAAATGCCTATAGGTGTCCGTACATAACTCGAGATGGAGAGAAGACAACGAACGTCGTTATCCAAGTCTAAGAGGATTATCTGTCGTCGACAAGCGCATGAAGCGAAACGACGAACCAAGTGGCCCGTGCGTGTCAATCACCTCGCACACGTCGGTCAACACGCGCGCGTCAATCAGCTCGCACGCGTTGGTCAACACGCGCGCGTCAATCAGCTCGCGCGCGTCGGTCAACACACGCCCGTCAATCAGCTCGCACGCGTCGGTCAACACGCGCGCGTCATTCAGCTGGCACGCGTCGGTCAACACGCGCGCGTCAATCAGCTCGCGCGCGTCGGTCAACACGCGCGCATCAATCAGTTCGTGCGCATCGATCAACACACGCACGTCAACCAACGCGCGTCGATCAACACGCGCGCATCAATCAGTTCGTGCGCATCGATCAACACGCGCACATCAACCAACGCGCGTTCGACGATCAGTCCCGCAACAAAGCGTATAAGTCAACAAGACGATCAATTACGTAAAACGGTGGAGAATACAAGTCCCGAAAAAACCGAAAAACACCAAAAGACTCAGCGAAAATCCCCGCGGCGGCGCGGGTCGGATTCGCCCTGCGCGCAGTTTCGACCTCCGCACGCGTTTTCGTTGTTTTCGATCGGTTTTTCTCGGGATAAGAGAGAGAAAAAATAATGTTACGCGCCTTGCGGAAGCGTGTTCGACAACCAAACGAGTCGGCCTGCTATGAGAGAAGAGAACCAAAAACAAGTTACGAGTGCAATCCACTAAATACAACACAAATCAAACCAAACACAGATTTACGTGGTTCAGTAATTGCCTACATCCACGGGGAGAGGATGGGGAGATTTCATTATATGAAGGAGAAATACAACGGGTTACAACTCACAAAATCGCTTAAATGTAAGATAACCCTAACCAAAGCTCTCAACTCCCTCACAATATCTCCCTCTCAAAGTTCTCAAAAGTCTCTCATTTCTCAAGAAACCCTAAAATCATGTTTTAATTTATATCAAAACACAAACCAAATCCAACTGGAAAAAACGAACTGGCCCATAACCGCTTCACGGTCGACCGGGCACAAGCGTGCGGTCGACCGGGCACAAGCGTGCAGTCGACCGGCTAGAAAGACAAATGTCAAACCTGTAATCATGCACGTTTTCGATCGACTGGCCATATTCATTCGGTCGACCGGTAGAACAAGTTCGGTCGATCCTGTAATCCAATAGTCTGTCGGTTGACCGGGCCTATGCCTTCGGTCGACCGACCGGTAGCCAAATGTGCACTTCAAAATTTTCCTATTCTTCTTCGCAGTTTCTTCAAATAATAGGTCAAACACACCCTATCTCAAACATTCCTAATTTTGTTAACATCTATCATTTCTGGAATTAATATCTTGATAAGGATAAATTACATATAACCGCCCTCGCTCAAGCAAAAGACCCTTGCTTTAAGAATGACTAGTGCTACTGAAAGTACAGACGACGCGATTATTTAAATATTAATACACACTTTTATCGAGAGGATCCAAACCCAAAGAAATAAGAGGAAGGATAAAGACTTGAGAATGCAATTTTTACCTGTAAGTGACGTCTCTTTTGGATGAGAGGCGATTGAGGGTAGCCATTGGTTGATGTAGAGAATTTTGCGAGTAGGTTGAACTATTGAAGGAAGAGATTGATGATGGATGGTGTAATGCTTGAGCTTGCAAATTTATGCGGTGGATGAAGGGAGTAAAAGAGAGACAAAGGGGAGCGGGAGGAACGTGTGATCACCGACCAATTGCGGATGATGAGCTGGCTGAAGTTTCGGTGGGTTCCTCAATGTGGGCTCCAACGAGTTGTGAACTGACACGTGTCCTTTGTCTCGGAACATGGAGTTAGATAGGGACTAGAGGCTTGTTGGGAGATATAATAGCTCAGCCGCCCCTGAATTTGATTATTGGTTTTCTTTTTTTTTTTTATTTTTTTTTTGGTGATGGAAATTATTGTTGGTGTATTTAGTATTTAGTTAAGAGAAGAGGTAAGATGCTTAATTAGTTTGACCTAAAGGCGTGATGAGTAACGAAATTCATTTTTTGAGATGAACCAAGATTTAATTTTTTTTAAAGAAAAGATATATACAATTTTCAACACACTGCTCACCCAATTTATCCCACAATCACGCGTTTGGTCTTTTTATGCGTAAAGATTTCAGGCACTGCGAATGAAATGGAAGTCAGATTCTTCACATGTCAAGGTTCTTTCTATGATATATCAAAATAAACAGAAGAATTTGGTGAACTAATTGGTAAAATATAATTAGGAGGAGATAATGTCAACTGAGGAAAATACCATGAAGTATGCATAAAGGAAGACGGCAAAGAAAAGAACAATGGGGGGAGACAGTATGAATGATTGGAAGGAACTAACTTATAATGCTTCTTTTTTTGGTCAATGAAAGAATTTATTCATTTACCAAATGAAGAGATTATGTACATCAAAGTACTCATGACATGAGAAAACTATAAAGCTCCCGTGTGGATACTCAAGGAACACTTAACTAAACTACCAAAAAAAGAAAAACAAGAAACAACACACCTTATAGGGATAAACTCCATTCTCTGAACTCAGTCGATAGGGAGTTGTTATTGAGGATGATAGTCAAAACCTCAATTTTAATGCTTCTGATCAGATGATCAACACTATGAGTTTCCTGCTTGAAGATTCTACTATTGTGCTCCTTTTATATATAGTATGTAGGCGTCAAAAATTACCTATAGGTCCCCGCACGCGGCTCGAGACAGAGAGAAGACGATGAACGTTGCTATTCGAGTCACACAAACTCATTTGACAACGACAAACGCACGGAGTGAGTCGACGGACCATACAAAGCAACGGAATAACAGAATAACGGAAACACGAGTTGATCGGGAGCCCCGCGTCGCTTACGAAAGGCGAAGCGCCCCTCGTATCCCATTTATTCCACATGTGATTCAACCATGGGAGCTTATAGATCTCCTCATTAGCTTTCCAACGCATCTTGAACCACGTAATTCCGAGTTCGGACGATGAAGATACGGTAGAAACAGTTAGAATCGCAAAACCAGGTCCAGGCCAAAAGTTTGGCCAAGACACCAAATGGTGTCTCGGCCAAAGCATGGTGTCTCGGCCCAAGCTTGGCCGAGACACCCACGGGTGTCCGCAGACCCGAAAATCTGGTTTTGGTAGTTTGAAGCTGTTTTTCGATCCTTAACCGTCTGGATTTGTTTCAACTGATAGAATATCATCCAAGAATGTTGTTAAGTGGTTACAACTGAGGATATGAGGGAATCGACCGCTCTTATCCGAAAACAGGGGTCCTGAAACCTATAAATACAGCCCCAGGGCCTTCATTTTTGGGAGCTAGAATTCTCGAGCGTCGACGAAGCCCTGCCAAATTGAGGACTGAAGAGCCACGAATTTCAGAGAGGAGGAGGAGAGATCGGATCGAGTTTGTCAGCATAAAGAAGAGGAGCTCGTCAGATCTACACTTCTCGGTTCCTTCCTTGAGATCGCCCTGTTGCGGTGATCTCGAGAAGAGTGGTTATCTCACCGTTGCTGAGATAACTGCTTCGGTTTCTTGATTCCTTCGCGAATCAATGAACCTCCGGATCTGATCTGATCATTTGGTGGTCCACGGATATCAACATCTCCGTCACAGGTCAAGATCCCACGCAAGCAGCGGGCGATAAACACCTATTGCGTATGTTTGAAGAGAGTTGTATTTTTCTTATTTTTATTGTGTAAGAAAGTCTTATAAAAAGACTAATTTTACTTTGAATCTGTAATCGATAAACGTATACTAGATTCAGCAATGAAGATATCAATTTTCACCGCAAACAAGCTGACGACCACAGTGAGAGCCAACAGCCTCGCTGCAGAGGCTATCGTGACGCAACAGATGATCAAGATCCCGGTGTTCGAAGAGGTCGAATACGAATTCGACCAGAAAAAATTCAAGGAATATATTTCCTCCTCCTCCTCCAGATATTCTTCTTACAAATGCAGAAAAACCACTACCACAAAAAACGTGCCTTCAGATCCGAAGACCAGGGCTGATGATCTGAACCCGAATGCAGTGGAAGACCCCTCTCCGGCCTCCAAAGAAACCATATCAAACGTTCGTGATAACTCCTTGAAAGTCAAGGAGATGCCCGTTAAAAGTACACCAGTGCTGACGAAGAGGTCTCGTCAAAGGCGCCGTCAACATCTCGCGCGCCAATTTGCCAAGGCTTTGGAGCCTGTTGACAGGATCTGCTATGATGCAGATCTGAAACTCATAAGGCGCCAAGTGTTCTTGCAGCAAGCAAACGCCTCCTCCTTCAAGCCAGCAACCAATGAATGAGTTCGTGTCAAAAAGACTCGTTCAACTCTTGAGGAGCGTATCCATAAGCGCTGCGCACTGCTAGCGCAGGCAATGATCCTTGTACGAAAGGCACAGGAGTTGCAAAAGGAAAAGATGGTCAAAAAGCCACCAAGATCTAAGCAAGTTTGGATGCCAAAGGTCAAATCAGTGCCTAAGGCAAAAGCATCTGAGACTGCTCTCCGGCCTTCGTCAACTCCAGATCCCGCTCCTATTACTCCCGCACCTCCAGTGAAGCCCTATGATAGCGTGGATCTCTCAAAATCTAGAATTCCATTGAAGGATCACCTCGGTTCTCTACCCGAAGATCGAGGTAAAGCGCCTGTTAAGGAACACTTGGGACCGTTGAAGGAACCCCGAGCAAACATCCGGACTGGGGGTCATACGCGACATCCTAACAAGTTGATTCTCGTAACCGCCCGCTTGGGGGTGCGTACAGAAGGCCAGGAGCCCGTTAAGCTTTCACCCTCAGAAAAGTATGATTCCAAATGTGTGACTCCTGCAGACACCAACAAGGGGTTGTTTACTCAGAAGAAAACGCGTCAGACAGACGAACGCGTTATACCTGAGAATTCATGTAAACAGCCAATAGGTTGCTCTGATCGTAACATTGATGAGTTGTACTATCGGGCTGGTGCTAATCACATTTTATTCTAATTTTATACCCTTATTATCTATTTTTAATGAATAAATATACCACTAATAATTATTTTTATCTTTAATTGCAGGTTAATGGAGAATAAAGCCTAAAAATCTCATCTCTCAACAAAGCCCATGAATTAATGAAGAATATATGCAAATACATGAAAGAGCCCAAGCCCAAGTCCAAAAGCCCAAAGCCAAAGCCAAATAAAAGAGAAAATCAGGGGATTGCAAAAGGAGGGATATGGGTATCGATGCCAGCATCGATGCTGGTATCGATACCTACGTCGTTCTGTTACAGATCAAAGGCTAAAATTTGCTTGTTTTGGATAAGATTTCAATCCAAGGGCTCTCATTCACTTATGTTTACTATAAATATGGGTAGAGAGTGAGGGGTTGAAGGGGTGAAAATTTTTGTAACTCCTTTTGGAGATGAGGGCTACTCTTAATTGAGAAGGCCTTCCAAATTTATAATTTTTTGTTACAATTAATAATAATAATTTTTTCACCACTTTAAATATTTATTCTCTTTGTTGGATGATGAAGATGGAGATGAAGAATTATTTAGAGGTTTGCATTTCTTTTTTTTCTCTTTTATTTCTTTTTATTGCTTATTAGTTTAGATTTATTTCTATGCTTATAATTAGATTTTATTTTCTTGTTAAATAGCCAAGAGGTTAGAACCCTCTTACCTTAGATTTATTTTATGCTTATAGATTAGATTTATTTTATGCTTATAGAGTAGATTTATTTTTTGTATTTAATTCTTGTAATTTATTTTGTAGTTTAGATTTTAATTTTTTGCACTATTTACCTTGAGGCTAGAACCCTCTTGAGTTTAGTTTTTCTTTTTGTTTATTTTCATTTTGTTTGATTCGCCTTTAGGCTAGAACCCTCTAGGGAATCACCCTTTTCTAAGAAATGGGTTCAATTTTAGATTACCCATATCTATAATTGAATCCACCATATTTAATTTCTTACATTTTCTTTTATTCTTAAATTTTATTTTTTATTCTTGATTTTTATTAGATTTTTCCTTCTTGCCTTATTAATCACATTCATTCTTTGTCACATCCACTCTCACTTACATTTTTCGCCTATGTATGCACCATTTTCACTCTCTCAATCTCTTCACAATCACATTCACTCATCACTTCTATTTTGTCACGCACACAACATAAGAACTGATTTTATATTTTCTCCTACAAAACACCTTCCTCGTGGGCAACATAAGAACTGATTTTATATTTTCTCCTACAAAACACCTTCCTCGTGGGATCGATATCTTTATACTATAACTTGACACGGTTGTGCACTTGCAATATTTTTGGTACATGTTTATGCCACATTAAGTTTTTGGCACCGTTGCTGGGGAAGGTGCTTAAATAGGTTTGAATTATTTTGTCTCTTTAACTTGTGTGTTTATTGTGAAGGAAACGCTTGGAGCTTGAAGATCGCGGATTGGAGAACTAAGATTTGAAAATTTGCTTTCGGGTAAGTCTTCTTTCTAGCGTTTTCAATTCCATCCTTTTTAGTTAGCTTTACAATTAGAGATAATTGGGATTTAAAAAAAGATTTTATTTTTGTTGACCATAATAAAATCCATCTTTCACTTTGACATTTACTAACAAAATAATAAATTCAAATAATTTCCCCCTTCTCATTTGTTTGATTGTTAACCCTAATTAAAAAAAGATTTTTTTTCTT